TAGTTAATTGGTTTTATCTTTGATTTTATGCAGTGTGTTGTGTGTTGCTTGTTGTATGTGGTTGTTTTGTCTTTTGCTTTTTGTAAGCCGTCCAGAGACTTTAATATAAGACAGCATATAAAAGCTTTAAATACATACATACATACATACATACATAACACAACAGACCAACTTATGTAAAAAACCTCCACTGGTTCATGTCAAGCCAACCCACCCAATCCGTTCTAAGGTTTCCACATTTCACCATGGTTTCTCCAGTTGTCCGGAGCCCAGACCACCATTTTACCATTGTTAGTATAGAAATACCATAAGCAAGAGTGCTGTGGAAGTGGCCACTTCTAACCTTCAATCTCTACTCCCCTCGGCACCCAAACAATATGTGCACCATTGCTTCCTTTATTCCCACAATGAGTCTATCTCCCTGTTCACTTTTGGAAGCAGTACAAGAATACATGGGGGGAAAGGGAGGGAATCATGGCAGAGCAGTTTATTTTTATTAATAAAATTGTCTGTGGGAGCTGGAGTAGCTGGGAAGTGTCACAAGCCTGGAGGTACACTCAATCAAGAAATATTGCTCTCTCACAAAATTATTTCTTCTTCATCATTTCATTTATGCACTGCCCAATAGCCAAGGTTCTCTGGGTGGTTAGCACACTCCTTCAGTATGTGTGCAGTGAGCAACAGCCTCTGCATCACTTTAAAATATGGCTTTCTGAGATTCCTCCGCAAGCCCTGCTCCTACCAGGTGTGCCATCACAGCTCTGCAACAGATGCCATAATTTGCATTTATTGGGCCCCAATTTCAAGCTGCAGTTAACAGATCTCTGCTGAAGCGGGCAGGGTAAGACAAAGCTGGGGTTGCTGCTGGCAGACGAAACTGCCCTGGATTGAATCCTCTAATCTCTGGAATTGGTATATCATTAAAGTGACCAAGTCAAAACCAACCCAATCAATCCCAAATTATTTCCTTTCTCAATTCTCTTGCAAAGATGCTATCATGTGTAAATACTCATAGCTGGTCAACTGTACTGTCCTTCGTCCCTTCCACCCATCCTGTGTTGGCTCTGTTGAACCCTGGACTGGTGTCAAGGGGAGGCATGGCAAAATCCCACACTCGAGCAAGGTCCCTCTGACAGATCACCTGGACCTGCCCCTCCTGTTCCCCACTGCCACTGGATAGTTCATCCGCTTCTCACTCTGGCCCAGCTGTTGCAAGTGGTGTGGAGAGGCGGCAGCAGATGCCCCTTGCCTGTGGATCTGCCCGTCAAATATGCAAGCAGGAGCCATGATGATGATGATGACGAGCTGGTGACCCTGGTGGTGAGAAAGTGGTGGACTAACGAGGGAAGGGTCCCATTGCAGGTATCTTGCCCAAGGGCCTGCAAAAGCTCAGAGCCACCACTGTGTGGCTCACAACACATCTCCCTATGCTTTGAGAGAGGTGATACTGCTGAATCAATAGGTTGTTGCAGGAAGATAGGAGGCCAAATAATCTCTCGTGGTTTCTAGCTAAGAGGAAGTAAGAATCTAGAGGAAGTAAGAATCTATACGAAGCATTCCTGCGTGGTCCCTCATTCATGAAAGCTTGCAGGTCCTTCTCACAATGTCATCACCCTCCAGGGCCTTTCCTGTATTTTCTAGCTGTTTTGCATCTTTTTTTTAAAGAGTGTGAGGGAAGTTAGTCATTTTCTTGCATGACACCATGATTCTCTATTGAAGTCTTGTGGCATTTTCAGTTCTGCTCTGTATTACAGCACCACCTTATAAAGGCAGAGAGGAAAGTCCTCCTGAGGGGAGAGAGAGGAACCAATAAGAAAGTGTGAAGGATATTCTAATCATCTCACAAAGAAAATGAAAGGAGCAGCCATGATGAAGTTCTAGATTGAATGCCTCATGCAAAGAAGCCCTGAGCTGAGTTTGCAAAATTCACATTGGGATATGAAAGTGGCTTCAGTGAAACTCGGCCATTGCTAATCATATGAATAGTGCCATGTCTACTTTGACTCTCAGTCTTACAATTGAGGTCTCTTTTATAGCTCAGAAGGTTTTTTCCCAGAAGCACAATCCCAAGATTTTGTAGGAAGAAGAAATGAGTATAAAGCCATCTAATGTCTGTAGTGCAAGCTCGGCTTTGCACTACAACTCTCATAACTTCCCACCAGCATGGACAATGGCCAGGAATTATGGGATTTGTAGTCCAAAACATCTTGAGGGCACCAGGTTACCAAACTTTGCTGTAGCGTGTAGATGTCCCCTTGGTTTTGCTTCCTTCTGCTGGGTATCCTCTGTCACCCCTTAGAGTTTGCAGATTAGTTAAAGTCACAATCCCATGTAAATTAAACAGAAAAAAGCCTACAACTTTCAGTATGTCCCAGCACCCTAAACTGGTTAGGATTCCTCAAGCCTGCACTTCCAACAGACACTAGACGGCACCACTACAAACTAGTGGACCACGTTTTCCTGCTCCGCTTGTACTTCTCCTTCACTCGTTTACAGGCAATGTGTTTCAATAACAGAAAAGTAAGCCCTGAGATCATCAAATCAGGCCTCTCAGATTCCACTTTTTGGCTGCTCACAAGAAACAACATGGGCAAAGGCACGCAGCCCTTTGAGATTTGAGCAATTGCCCTGGCACCACACGAAGGCTGCTGTGGGCAGTGTGGCAAAGGACAAAAGGCTGCACAAAAAGCTGAGCGCAATACAGAGGAGGGAATGAGTTGCAGCATGTTGGAACAAGTTCAGCTGTCAGTACCGATAGAGCCTTTTTTTCACAACAAGCCCTGCTGTCGGTAAGAAAAAAAATTTTTTTTTAAAGGAAGGGTGAAACACCTTGATGGGTGTCAGAAAAGCGGCTGGGAGCGCACCAGTGCCTGCAGGCGCCACTTGTCCTGTGGGTGTGCTACCACCTTGTGGTTTTTCATCTTCCTCTTGTTTTACTCTCTGTGGGTCAAGTTCTGAGATCAAGGGTGCTACTCATTTTCACATAGGAAAAGGTCTCCAAAGGACACTAATTTTTGTCAGCCAGCACTGGCTTGACTTTGTCATCCCACCCACCCCCGCAAAGACTTGGGGGTAATTTGTTTTGTGTTGTCCTTCTTGTTAATCTGGATAGTCTTTTTTTTTTTAAGTCAACAGTAACCCAGATTGTTGGAGACTTCCTGGATTGCTTCTCCTAAGTGGAAAAATCTGTTCTCCTTTGCATCCTGCGAGCACTGGAGGTACAGGGCTTTTAATAAACATCATGTCCAAACATCCTGGTCTCTTACCTCTTCAGCACAAGTCTCCATTGCCACGAATGCTTCTTTTCATCTTGCTTTCTCCTCTCCCTGACCTTTCAATTTCTCACAATTGATCTGAAGCAAGGAGCATTAAATAAGATGTATTTCAGTAATAACAGTTCCTTTGCTTAAAAAAAAAGGGTGGGGGGAACCCTCCTGGCAATAAGATATGGGAAAGATAAGGACAAAGAGCAAACATTTTTGTCTCAGCAATAATAACCTTGTCAATCTTTGTGTCTGGAGCAAAACAGATGGCCAAAAATCCCTTCTGTTCACAGCTCTAAATGGCAAGATTTTATTGAAAGCGTGATCTTTGCAAGAGCTCTGTGTGTGCGTGTTTGCAGGCTTTAAAAAGAAAACTCAAAACACCCACAACAAAAAGTACATGTGTATATGCCAGACCAAAATGCAAAGAGCTTATTACAAATAGCTTGAATTTGATAGTGTGAATCCTAGATTTATCACCAGATCTCACTCTGCCAATGGATAAGCTACAAAGATTAAAAAGGGATTGCTGAACAATTATAAAAAGAAAGCTATGCCGCTGAGAGCAAAGTAATGAGACTTGACTTAATTTGAGTGAAGGTCATTATCCCAGAACCTGTTTTCAATGCCAGGGGTCAGCCTTGCAAAAAAAAAAAAAAAAAAACCAAACCATGATAAATGAGCCTCTCACCATATGCAGAGTATTTCTGATCATAACCAAATGACCACCGCTAATTCCATGCAGCTGGGCTTAGGCCTGAATGTTAGCACCTCACAACCGGCACACAGAGCACTCAAGACTGAAAAAAGACCATGCACTGATGAAACTGTGCATGGTCTGCACAGGACTGCTTGGACTATGCCCATGGCCTCTGATTAATTCACATTTGCTCAAATGTAAGTGAGCGCTGAAGGCCCAAACTACACAGGCAAACGAGGTGGCACAGTGCTTTTTCAAATCGCCAGACATCCAGCTCATCATCAATTCCTTACGTGCTGCATCACTCACACAGAGTTGCTTCAACCTCCCTCATCCCAAGTTCACTTTTTTTTTTTTTTTTTGGAACAGTATTGTTTTAAGTGTTGCATTTATTGCTAGTTTATTTTAATTTATTTTTAAGGTCACCCTTAAGGATGGAATGCTATAAAGGCAGCATATTAGATAAAAACTACAGGAATGGATTCAATTTTATAGTTTACCCCACCCTCCGTCTAAGGCAGGGATGGGAATCCCATGGCCCTACAGGTGTTCTTCCAAAGTCTATCAGCAGCCATAGCCGATAGTGCCAGTCTTTGGTGTAAGGAATTAAGGGCAGCATACGAAGAGCTGCAGCACAGACTTAACACGGTCATCTCCTCTGAATATCTGAAGCGCAGAAACTTTGTCTTCTTGAATCCGGAAGAATCATCAACCTTTGCTCCACGTCCATAATCTGACAGATTAGAACGGCTACTTTACTGAGCACTAAACACCGTTAGTGCCTTGGAGCAAATAGCCTGTTAAATCCCAGAGGTACTACCAACTAACTTACGTATAAATGGTAAAAATCCGTCTAACTGCTCGCGCATTATATATAAAGGGGGAGGGGGTGGCATTTTCAGCCAGGCCACGCACTCCACGCCATGTGGGCGGTGCTTGGTTTCTGATTGGTTGTTACGGGAAGCCGTCCCTTGGGATTGGCCGCGTTGGGTTCGGAGAATTAGGCAAGGGGAGCGTCCTCTGCCTGCCCGCGGGCTCGCCATGGAGTCGTCCTGGTTGTCGCTCGTCCTGCTGGCGGCCTTGGACTTGGCGCTCCAGTGGGGTCTGTGGGTGGCGGCGGCCGCGCTGCGCACAGAGAAGTTCTTCGATGCGGCGGGTGAGGGGGGAGTCTCGGGCACTGGGCGGCGGGCGGATCGGGATCCTGCCTCTGGGCGAGCCAGCTGTGCAGAGCTTGGACGTGGGTGTTCCGAAGGGGACACGCCCCTGTCCGCACCTCCAGCAGAAATCCCTGGGTTGTATCCCCCGATAGGGTAACTTCTGCAACTTCATCTCAGTGAGCGGGACGACTCCTGAGCAGGGCTAACGTTAGGACGCACACCTTGGGTAGTCCTGTTGTCTCCACTTTGATGCGCACCTTCCAAGTCAGCGGAACGTCAAATCGATATTATCCAGGAAGGTCGTATCCATTGGAATGCACACCCAACATTAAGGCTCTTTAGGGAATGATTAACAGATGAATACCGCAAGCGTCCAAGCATTTCCCGTGACAGACAGACACAGACAGTCTCAGTCTCTCTCTCCCCCCTCCCCCTTTTGCTGAATAAGAAGCCTACGTGATGCGATAAAAAGTATGGAAGGCGCGTCAGCATGGGCATCGTTTTTCTTGCATCCCTCTGAACATATTCTGTTGTAAAAGAAGGCTTTTGTTTCGGAGCAGTCATCGTCCCCTCTGCAAGAATGCTGTCATCAACCAAGCAAGAAATACATCTCTGTTGTCTTCCTGCTTTTTGAGGCTATAGATAGGACAGTATTCAGGTGGCCAGCTTTCTCCAACTGGGTTTCCTTCTTGTGCTTTGGACTTCAATTGCCATTATTGCCTCTCATGCCGGCTGGGGAGGGTGGGACATGAGTTACAGTCTGACACATTTGGATAGGAGAAAGTTCCATGAAAATCCAGGGTGGATCATTTCTACACAAACTGTGAGAACAGAAAGCACACAGAAAGTGCAGTCATTGGTAATACAAGAATGGGTGGTCCACCAGTTCAGTCTTGCTGTGAATGGCAAGAGCCCATGAAGCATCTAGGGGCTTTTCTTTTTGCCCTCTCACTCAGGGCCAGAGCTGTTCATTCCCTAGATTGCATCAGAGAAAGCCGATTTTGTACCACAGGAGTGGACAGACCTATTTTTTTCCTAGAACACAGGGACTCCCCCAGCTAAGCACATAAGGGGATCAGACCCAGGGTCCATCCAGTCAAGCATTCTGTTCACACTGTAGCAAACTGACTGCCTGCAGGATCCCACAAGCAGGATCTGAGTGCACCAGCACCCTTCCACCCATCTTCCACAGCAGCTAGGTATTTAGGCATTGCTGGAGCCACACACAGAAGAGAGACAGACATGACCTTATAGTTAAGGAACAGGACAATTCTGAGTACATCTTGGGACTGTTTTACTACTAGAACAAAGCTCATAACCCTTCAAAATCTAAAACCCATGCCTGGATTTTCCTCTAAGGTTTCAGTAGCATGGTGGTGGTGGTAGGTGGAAGTACTGCTATGGTTAGAGGATTGAGAGTCAAAAACACCTGGTTATCTACTACAAGTTCCCTGGAGATCCGTCAGTGGATCCTGATCTATCGTGGGCCCATTCCTGGTGTCCAGTGAGTGGCTCCCCACACAGATCAGGCTAATTGCTCAGCACCGTTTGAGACACGCACAGCCTCTCTTCTGACTCTTTGTAATGCCATGAAGAAATTGCACCATTGCCATAGCGAGCCACTGCACACATACAGCTCATCAACTGCCACATGGACTATTGTGCACCACCCGATAGACTTACACCCCCAAAATATAGTTCAGCTGTATCAGAGATCTTGGCTCAGGACAGGTCACAGAACTGTACCAACCGAGCAGAAGTGCCACGACTTGGTCTCGGTAACCATATGGAGATCTTCTGTACCCAAAGACTTTAAACTGTTTAATGTTGTGTGTTTGCTGACTTGCATCGCCACTGTGGAAGGTCTTCTCGATGGACAGGGTGGGGCAATGATGCCAACTGCTCAGCTGGCATTGTTCAGATTATACAGTTCCAGAAGCAGAGCAGGTGCAGCATTTGCAGAACAGAGGCTGAATAACACACGCATCGAGGGATCAAGCAAGCCGTGTTGCATCGCAAACTGTGAATTTCATGCAGCGGTGTATGAAGCTTCTGTCTTGAGTCACAGCTGCTTGAGTAAACAGGATTGCTTCCTCTGCAGCAAATTCTATTAAGGATTACCCCCAACAGAACACACCTGGCCAGGGAGGCACTCAAGGTGGGCTGATAGTACTTGTTTTAACTTCTGATGCAGTTTTCTGGCTCTCCCTAGGAAGCGGAACATTCGTCTTGCTGGCACATCTGAGTCTCCAGTGGGGTCACGCACAGCATCCTCGGCAGCAGGTCCAGACAGCCCTGGTGACTATTTGGGCCCTCAGGTGAGGTTTGAATGAGCTGTGCGTTTGTTGCCTATGCCAAAACTTACAAAGAGCAGTACCCTGGAGAGGATCAGAGCCATTTGGGTGTCCAAGGAGTGCTGCTGTAGAATCAGGCTAGCTTCATAGAGAGTTTAACATAAAGTCAAAGCACAAACTTTGCAATAAGGCTTAGTGCTATTTACTTTTTATATTGATGGTACTGCTTAATACCACACCACACCATGACACACACAGAATGATTCTGTGACCCCTAAATATTGCCTGAGGGACCAGCAGATACTTCAGATTCCTAGATGGCCCTGGGGGATGTTAACATCCACACTAAGAGAACCTTGTATGGGGTGCTCAGGATTTCATAGGGTCCATGACAACCATGAGACTGTCCCAACATTGTCATCAGTCCAACACGTGTAACAGGGCACCCTCTGGGTTTGTTTTATTTTAGCTGGGCATGGGGACTGTGAACTGAAGGAGGACTTTGAATCAGTCCTTGTGTCATGGTCAGATTACTGTTTGCTGAGATTTAAATTAACAGCAAATTTTCCCTGAGCCCAACTCAAGGTGTTGAGTTTAACCTATGAAGCCCTGCATAATTAGGACTATATTACCTGATGGAATGCCTCTCCCAGCTGCAAGCTACCTGTATGCCATGGTCACCATCTCTGATTGCCTCCTTCAAGGGAGGCTCAGTCGGTGGCGAAAAGGAGAGGGTCTTTTCAGTGGCAGCCCCCCAGTTATGGAACACACTCCTGACTGAGTCCCACCTAGTGCCAACTTTGATATCTGTGTAGTGCCAAGTTAAGACTTTCCTCTATGATAGGGCTTTTATTATTTTTATAGTATATTGGGGCACTATGTCAACTGCTTAACTGCATGTGACTTAATTTGTGTAAGCTATTGTAACTTTCTAAAATTTAGTTTTAAATTTAGCTTTTAAATTCTGTTTTGCTTTTTAATGTTTTTATTATTATTTTGTATTTTTATTGTATTTTATCTGCTTTTGTGAACTGCCCAGAGAACTTGGGCTACTGGCTGTTACAGAAGGACTGTCCCACCTTGTTTCCTTCAAGGAATTCGAGGCAGCTTACATAACTGCTGCTCCTCCTCTCAATCTTAATATTAATAGCAGCTCTTAGGTTAATGTTGGAGCTGGAAATCCAAGCCCTGCCCCCCACCCCCGTGCTGACCAGCATAGAAGGAACTGTGCTGCCTGCCCTTCAGGGTTGGGCAAGTGACCTGGGGAGGGGCAAATGGGCCATTTCAGGGTAGGGGAGGAGACTGGAGTAGCCAGGGTAGGAGGCATCCTGGCAGTGCTCCTCCCTCCTGTTTTGGGTGTGCTTTACTGGAAGAATGGCAGGAAGGTTATTAAGGTCCCACAGGTAGTTTTTTTTAACTTCCCCAGGGTTGAAAGGCCAGACTAGTTTCTTGAAGTCATGTCAAGGCCTTCTGGCCTTTGACTGCTAGGAAGAGCATCAGCGATAATTGCTTTGAGCTGCACTCTGCAGTCCTTCTGTAGCTGAGACCTCCCCTTGTGTGAGATCAAACCCCTTTCTTACTTAAACTGCTTCTGAAGTGTGTGGGGGGTGCATTTGTGTATAGTGACACAATCTGCAGTACAGTCCCTGGCAAGAGGGACTGTCTTTGGTTCTCAGCCTGGGAGAGGACGATGCCCACCCAGACAACTAGGAAGCTCGCAGAGCATCCCATGTGCCATTCAGGGAGCCAATGCAGCCACAGGTAAGGGAGGGGCATAAACTTGCTTTTGCTTGTCGACATTACATCACCGTATTCCATCAACTGTATCTCACTTTTGACACAGCTGGCTCCATTTCTCCATAACTGTCCTTGAATCTAGTGTGAGGCGTCTTGGCTGGACCAGGCTCTGGGGTTAAAGCACTTCCCATCTGAAACGCTCTTGCTGGATGGCTGAAAATGGCCATCCGCAACAGTGCAGAGCAGGGAGGTGAAGATCACCTCTGCCACTCTTCTTGTGCCGCAAGGGATGCCATTGAGCCACATAGGCATCTTGATAAATTGTGCCCTTAGTCCAGTGATGGCAGACCTTGTAGAGATCGAGTGCCCAAACTGCAACCCAGAACCCACTGATTTATCGCAAAGTGCCAACACTGCAATAAAATCTGAATACTGAGGTTTTAGTTTAGAAAAAACAACTCACAGCCAGTCCAAGCAAATATATATATATATATATCCTTGGCAGTGAACTGACCGGCCATGCGAAAGCTCGGACGAGTCGCAGCTAATGAGTCACAGCTTATGACGTCATTGCCTGGCACCACTACTCCTTTCTGAGCATGCGCATGGCCCCTATGGGCGCTGTTATCTGATGCTCAGATGCTGGGGTGACTTGGCTCGTGTGCCAACAAAGAGGGCTCTGCATGCCCCCTGCGGCCATAGGTTTGCCATCACTGCCTTAGTCATTCACATATAAACATTAAAATCACATTTAAAGTAAATTATCCAAAACTGTTTCAGTTGCCATAATTGTAGAGGAATGGAAGGAGCCTTAAGACAGAACACCTTGCTTAATTACAAGCCAGAGAAAGCCTCATGCTAGCAATGGCTCCTCAGACTTGAGTGACTTCTGACTGACACACTGCCTTTCCAGGACTGAGGTTTGCAGCGCCACTTGTGGTCCTGCGTGGTAACAGGCTGTGCTTTCTTCCATGCTTCCACACAGGCTCAGAAAAACACAGTGTGGCTTCTTGAGACTGTTCTCTGTGATGTGTTTGTTCCTTTTTTATTCTCTCCAAATGAGTTCCTAGTAATTATGATTGCAACAATGTGCCGAGACTGTGTGGACAATGCCTATTGAAAACCAGATGGCTTGTTTAATAAGACTTCCAGGGCCAGGGCTAGAGTGCACGGCATAGCTCTTTATTCTTCCCTGTTGCTAGCAGAAGCAATGCATTTTTATAGCAGTAAAATGCAGAGTGAATTATATATAATAAGATAAATTTGCTTAACCTACACAAGCTGCTGTCTTTTGTTTAGTACAGGATTTAGATTTTTTAAATGCATGCCGCTTTCCCCAAGGCCTTATCTCTATTTCAGTTTTGGTTGTATTTGTCAGGCTAGTGTGAAAACTACAAGAGCAAGGCCACCAAAACATGGTGGCAATACTACTGAAAGACAGAATTTAAAGTTAACAGTTAGAGTTGCTTGCTAACTACCAATTGAAACTTAGGGTCCACATTCTTGCACAGGAAAATGCATGTTCTTCTCCAAACTTTCCATCTTCAATTGTTCTCAGGTTGGGGCTGTTCCTCTTCTTACGAATCTTGAAAGAGGGGCACGACAAACGATTCAATGGTATAAGAGAGAACCCAGGCACTTTTTTTCTTTATTGGACAATGCAAGGTAAGAATATAGGCCAATTGGTTTTGAAACAAAGATTTCAAACTACAGTGGGATTGAACAAGTCATCTTATACACGAGGCCTGTGCATGCCTTCTCAAATTGAAATCAATAGTCTTTACAGCCCCAAATGGTTTAGGACTAGGTAATCGTAGGAACCACTTGTTCTGAGAAGCAAATTCAGCTTCACAGGTCTTGTTCTCCATTAGCTTCTGGTTGAACACAAGCGACAGGGCCTTTTCTGTTGTGGCCACAGCTCTTGAATGCTGATTTCACTAAGATTTGTCAGGATCCCTTTCATGTTTGTTTATCAGAAATATAAGACACTTTTAATGTATACAATCATTTAGTTCTACTGTTAATAGTTTCTGGAGAGTAAAATCTTTAGCTTCATGGCTGTTTTTTCTTAGGACTGATCAGTCAATATGTTTTAGCCATCTTTATTTGTATTTTATTATTATAGTATACTGTTTTTAATAGTGTAAGTTGATCTGGGGCAAATAGTAGAGCTCTGTGTGTGTGATTTCTGCAAGATATTGACTAATCTCACACAGGTTAGGATAATTTTGGTTTCCTTTCAAAAACAAAACACACATGGTCACAAGTGGCTAAAGAGATGGAGCAAAAGATTTGGGAAATCTCAGAAACCAAAGGAGCTCAGAAAAACATAAAATTATCAATGGATGGTGCATTAGTACTCAGCAAATCTCCTTTTTCTTCCTCACAGCTAACAAAAACTGAAAATGTGCAAAATAAGCAGCAATGTTTATTTAGATCATACTGTTTAGCTCTTTATAGTGCCAACTGAAAGTGACAGAACTTTACCCAAAACTTTGCTGAACATGCAGGGAGCAAGCAGGCCTTCCAGCTGGTCATTGTCCCTTAGGGTGTGAAGTGATAATGAATACTTAAAGGATTTTCAGATCCTGAATACAGACTTGCAGTGCAATCCTGGGCATCTTTACTAAGAAGCCTCAAGTAAGCGTAAATTTTATTTTATTTATTTTTGGATTTATATCCTGCCTTTTTCCTACAAAGGGCTCAAGGCAACTTACATCATTCTCCTCCTGGATCTTATCCCCCCAACAACATCCCTGTGAGGTAGGTTGGGCTGAGAGTCTGCGACTGGCCCAAAGTCACCCAGCTGGCTCCATGGCTGAGCGGGGACTAGAACCCAGGTCGTCTGAGTCCCAGTCCCATGCTCTTAACCACTATGCCACACTGGCTCTCAATATGAGGACGGCCGTCTCTGTCCCATTCTTACAGGCATATGGGTGTTTATAACACTGCTCCCCACTCTACTGCTGAACCTGGAGAAAAATGGGAAGCCTCTTGGATTCTGGGACTACCTTGGATGGAGCATCTGGGCAGTGGGGTTCACTACAGAGGCTGTAGCTGACCAGCAGAAATGGCACTTCAGAAGCAACCCTGATAATGCGGTGAGTCGCGGCTGCCAGCGAGGTTCTCTGCTGCACTGCATTTGGCGTTAAGGAGTTGTTCACCAGGAAGCCCAGATCTTACTCATTTGACTCAGATAAGCCCACGCACTGCATAACAAATGGAATTGATTTTTCCAATCGATCTTTGGGGGCTTTTGCTTAAAGCTTTAAAAAAAAAAGAAAAGAAAAGACAACAGTTTTATGTAGCTAATCAGGAACATCATACCCTAGTATAAAGGATCTGTGACCAAGTACCACACCCCATGTCATGGAGATTGTCAAGTGTCCCATTAAATACCTTCAGCCCTTTTTACCAACAACCTTGACATCTAATCCCTCTAATGAGCACAAATGGCTCATTTGATTTTTTTTTCACCTCCAGAGAGATTTGGGAGATCTGTGCAAGACTGGAGTTACTGCATTTTAGCAGATTTGTGCAAACTTTCCAAAAGCTTATTTTTTTAAAAATGGGATTTGTGCAAAGAAATTTGTGCAATTTCTTCAAGTGAAATTGAAAAGTAATATTTACATGAAAAAGTAACTTCTGTATACATTTCCCAGCACTTTAAAAACTGTTGTCTAGGGAAGCAATGACGTGAAAAAATTAATTCGTATCATTCCAAGATACACTGAAGAGAGGATATCATTAGCAAAACTGTAAGATACTCTTTGGGGGTTTGCTTTCGCAGATAGCTCTATAGACCTGTCCAACAAAATAGCCAGAAGCTACTCTGTTGAGTTCAGACATTGCAAACTACCCTGAAAAAGGGCAAAACAACACACCATGGGTTCTTATGGTGGCTTATGGAAAGGAAACCACACCAAGTTTGGATGTCACAGCAGGCCACCCTGAAATAAACAAGGGTGCCAGGCATGGGTTATGTCAGATAGGCCAGTGGGTGAGAGACAATCAACCTGGCTACATCTGCTGATTTTCAAGATGTGACAGCCCTGATAGGCTTGGGAGTGTGGTGGATGTTCTTGCTAGATTCTGGGTACCCAAAAAAGGGGAGGCCTCTTTCACTGACTATGAGAAACATCAAAAGTGTTCTGTTCTAATTTCTAGATTAGAATTGATAACTGCTCAAATATTGAACTGGTTCAACTAATTTTTTAAAAATCTGCTTTTGTTTTATTTCCTCCAGGATAAGTTTATCCAGAGTGGCTTATGGGCTTATAGTCGCCACCCCAATTACCTAGGGGAGATTTTGCTGTGGACAGGACTCTTCGTGTCAGCCACATCAGTGCTGCATGGGTGGCAATACGTCAGTGTCCTCTCACCACTGCTGGTTTGGTTCTTACTAAGTCACGTCAGTGGGGTTCCCATCCTTGAGAAAGCAGCTATGAAGAAATGGGGGAAGCAGGCTGCTTTCCAGGCCTATTTAAGAGAGACTCCCATGCTGTGGCCTGTCAGCTTGAGGTTGTAGCAGGTAAGGGTCATATCTACTGTATGTATCCTGCTGCCACTGAGGGGCACCCACCACACAACAGTTGTTGCATGAAGACCACTTTAAATTCACACTTATGCCTTTTTCATGGCAATTGTTCAGCAGTAAATGGACAGTAAAGCAGCCACTTGGCAAGTTATTCCTTGGGAAAGCCATTTCATATGCATAATTGCTCAGCAAACATGAGTCAGTGTGTGAAATGGTCACTCAGTCATCACTGCATCAGTATTTTCCTTGCTGCTTTGGAACAAAAATACATCTGGTATATAAAACACTAATCTGCGATTAAAGGCTGTGCTGGTCTTTTAGCTTCAATTACATAAAGTAGCTGGAAGGCTTTGCTCTCTTCCTGGTAAGTGGGTGCCCCTTGCCTAGCTGCCTGAGGCGCTAATCCCAGTAATCCAGTGCACTAAAAAAGGAAGAGATCATAGCCAGGAAGTTCACCTTTTGTAGAAGGAGGCATGAACGTAACCCGCTGAAGCAGGGTTAGTGGCAGATAACACACCAGCTGTGACGGAGCCATTCTGTCTCTACCTTCATATGAAAGTCACCATCCCCTTTTGCATTTTTATGTAAAGCCAAGCTTGTAAATCCTCCAGCTTTGATAAACCCATAGTCACCGTAATTAGAGTTGCTCCATCAGCTATGAATGCACTGTTAAGGTATTACCTGATACTTCATGAAATCTGTATTCTGACAAGCATGGCATCCTGTTAAGTGGAGATTCCTTTTGCAGCATGGTATTTTTAAGGCAGCAACTTGTACCGACTTGCTACTCATCACGCAACCCTGATGAGTGAGGTCAAGCTAATTTTTCATACAAATCCCTTTCTGGAAAGAAGTGCAATTAAACTCTACAGAAAGACAGTATAAGAACGGAACACCCACTGAGTTAGTTTTATTGGACAAAAGCATACTTTTGTTTTCTTAACCTCTCCATTTTAGTCCTATATAAAAATGCCTCCTTAAATATACAGGGATAAGTATTTGCTCTTACTATGCACAAGGTGGTGCTAGAAAGCAATACCACTAACTTCACATGTATGAATATTTAGTGGCAATTTATTCCATAAGATACATATTATAGGAAGTACCCAGCTGTTTGACCAAAACCTAATGCCATTAAAATCAATTGGTGGTCCTGCAGGGTCTTACTTTAAAGATATTTGCTTCTTCTCTCACACACTATTTTGTACTCCAAATGTTCCAGCTTAAAGGTTTCTTCCTAGGAAAGAGGCTTTCCAATCAGTAAATCATTTTAGTTGCACTTTTGACACCTCCCTCAGCACTCTGGTTTTTTTGAAGTATGAAAACTCTCTAGTTATTTCTACCAGCTTGTTGATCCTTGGCCTTTGACTTATCTAGAGGGCTCAGAAATGGCAGGTTTTACCTTTATAGCATATAGCATTGTAAGTAATGTAGTGCTTACATGGAAACAATACCTACCTGTTGTAGGAAGTGGGGGGCACCTAAACTGGGTAAAGTGGGAATGTAAGCTTATGAATTAGCTGGCATTCAAGAATCAGAAAGAAAGAAGAATTAGGTGTTTTCCCCATTTATAGCTTTCATTATAAAAAATGAAAGTCATGTTCTAAGGCTCACTTGGACTGCCTGTGCCAAATAGCCAGCAAGGTAGAATCTAAACTTGAGAGATTTCATTATCCTGTCCATGCCTTTTCAGCTGAGATGAGGGCATTGTTTGTTCACATCTTCTACCACTCTAAAGATTTTTCCATTTTGCCTACACACACCACTGGAGTGTTTTTGGCATCCTTTGTTAACTGGCAAAAGGGCATCAGCAGTCACTAGCAAAACACAAATTTAAACTTGTAATTTCATGCTGTCATTCTTAACACTGACTGTCAGCTGGCAGAACAGAAACCATGGCAGAATAGCTTTCTCTTCCCTCAGATGCCCTTTCTCAATCTGCTCTGGAACCCTCCAGCCAGCTTTGGAGGGCCCACAGCAGCAGGGAGACGCTCACACAGCATTTCAGGCCATGCCGTTAGACTATAGCATGGTCAAATGTTGCCTGTATGAGTGTGAACATTTTATGAGAAATGCATTATTGAACACATCGCAAAAAAGTGTCATATTAAAATTTACTTTTTTGGCAGGTCATACTGCAATACTTCTTACAAAATGGACAGCAGTTATAGGTAATACAGAACTTTCTGGGAAGAACCAGCCCAGATGAATCCATTCATCGCATCTTACAGATATAGCACATTCAACATCTAACCATCAAGAACCCCATTAAAAATCCACCTTGGCAGAAGGTTTAATAATCTAAGCTTTGTATCTGATGGCTGGAGATGAAAATGGCTGTAAAGTTAAGCTACTTCATTATCGCATTTATCCATGCCTTTCCCTGGTACACAAGGGAGAACCTCAAGTGTTCAGCAGTGTGCACACTAATGGAACACTGGGTTTCAATTTTTCACATGACCAAGTTCTAAATGTACATAGTTAAAAAAAAAACAATGGTTTTGCTAAAAATAGACTAACCAGAATAGTCTTAAATGTAGCTTCAATATGCACAATTTCCCTATACAGTGGATCAACACTCATTTCCCCAAGGATTACGGCTGTTCTTTGAAATGAGGATTACTGCCATTGCCAAATACATCCTCTTCTTTCAAACCACAACACACGAATTAAACAATAATGGGGTGTTTTGAACAGATGGAAGCAACTTCCCAGCTACAGAAAACATTTTCAAAAGCAACTTCTTGCAGTTTCCCTACTAACATGCTGAGTGGGTTCTGCCAGTTATTTCCTTACAATAAATGTGATATGGAGCTTGATACTTTACATTGCACTATAAAATTCAAATAAAAGTCTCGGTAAAACTAAAAAACAGACTTCTACGGTTGATCTTAGTACACAATGCTGCTGGGAATAAAGAAGGAACAACTTTGGGTTTTATTGTAGCTGTTCATTCTAAGCAGACATACAGAACAAAATCACAAACCATGTTTCATTTCAGCATTGGAGAAGCAAAAAAGTTGCCAGGGCGTCCAAGGCTGGTCGCAGACTTGCTTTTGCTTGCAAATCTAGGGAACAGGAAACAGAAAGACTTAGCATGAAATAGCTCTCACAAAGTACATTCTAGCGTTTGCCTGGTGAATAAACATCCTCCCTCCTTTATATCTGTCATTAGTATTTGCCCATCTCTGCCTCACATTTTCAGTTTTGTAGGCCAGTGATCAACCATTCAGGCTAGGAGTATCTTGGATAGACCTTATTGCAGCCCAAAATATTGGGGATTGGACAGAACTCTCATCTTTACACACATTTGTTTCCCTTTTTCCCCAACAGCGACCCTACCTAGCTAGTGTTTCCAACACTCCTGTGTGTTCAGCAATCAGCAGTAGCCAACTTACATTCACACTGGCCACATTGATGAGGCTGAAGTGTATAGGACTGTGCACCGCAGTTGCCTAGCAACCATAATACATCACCTTTCTCCTCTGTGGCAAAACCGCCTAGAGGCTCTATCTAGAGGCAGAAGCACCCAAGAGCTGCTGTGGCACCCAATAGCATATGTATATACTGTAGCTGCCCCATTGTTGCTAAAAGGGGGTTATGTGACTCCAGCCATGCTAACAAACCATGGGCTGTTAGTATGGCTTGGTTCAGACATGTTCCAAAAACAACCCATCCCATACTCAGCCTGCACTCAGGAGTGTGTTAGTGTGTTGTCTGAACTCAGGCTATGTTTAAAGGGAAAACTAACGCAAAAACTTTACATGTCCCTCAAGAAACACTGCAGCCTTCTGTGTCTAGTGTGAATGGCAGTTCTTCAAGAACCATCCAGTACTGCTGTACTTCTCCTTTGGAGCATGTAACTCTCCGGATGTTAATGAATGATCCACTTTGTTCTATTTTGCCCCACCTTGTCTCATTAGACTTCAAAGCTCCCTCCCTGCGCCCACCTCATCAAACAGTTGGAAACAAATCACACATTTCCTCAGAAATCATGTCTGCTTCCTTCTCACCGGCTGCCTGGACTTGCGACAAGGATGCAGGACTCCAGCAAACGTGGAAGGAAATACTTTGTGCACACTAGACCAGGAAGCAATTGTCCAGCTTACTTTGGTGTAGTTTTGCTGAATGTAGACCTGACCCTCTGAGACAGGGAGCTGCTGGAAGGAGTCTTCACCAGTTGCTGTTCTGGAGTGGTAAGCGGGCCCAACATGCTCACTGTGCAAAAAGGCAACACGGGTGTCACTGCAGGTAGCCTTTGTCACTCACCATATCAAACAGCACCAACATCAGGGACATGATGATGAGTAGCCTCACAGAGCAGAGCAGACCACCTGCATCCTCCAGATCCAATGGATATAGACCACTGAGTGGCATTTCCCACTCTAGTGTGATTGTCAAGTTTATTTTAGTGACAGGGTGACCCTCTTCTTGGTTGGTACAAGGCTGGAGCAAGCACACACTGCAATATTGGAAGTTACTAATGTACTCCAAATGATTGTTGCCACAGACATTTTCTGCCAAACGTTTTCAAATCTTGCAACAAGAAAACTTAAACTTAGGCAGATTCACATAGCATAAGGAGCTGGGCATGAAGATGTGGAATTGCCAGTGGAAATGGAAACTCTCATCAAACCTCCCCTCCCTGTAATGTTTTGTAGTGGAAACACGGTGAAAACATCAGGGTCTGCTCTGCAATGGTCACTATGGGGCAGCAAAAGGCAAAATGGAAGGCTTTTACGCTTCCCTGTTGCTACGTTGCAGGAGAGGGGAGGCAGCTGACAGAGGGGCTCCTATCTTGGCAGCAGCCTCCATGTTCTGTGGCATATCTGCTCCCGTTTGGAAGCATTTTGCTCCTAGAACATGCACTTGGGATCTCAGCTTTAGCACCCAACAGAGGAAGAGGAAGAAAGCAAAGGGGCCGCTAAAAGAAACATGTGAGCAAGAGGTGGCACATGCTCAAGTGCAACAATTGAAACAGCCCTTAAAACCAGCTGCTGGCAGAAAGAGACTGGTGTGCAGAAACAAGGGTTTCTGATGAAGGAGCTGAGTTTCAGCTCATATATTTGTCGTATGCGGGTTATCAGTACAACAGGCACAATTACCTTTCATATCTGGTGTGCAAGGTGTGGAGTAGGCATTTGAGTTCTCAATGATATGTGCCGGCTCAATGTTTTCTTGCTCCACCATCATGAACTGACTCCAGTATTCCACAGGCAGGCTGATCAGCCGCTCCACAACCTGTAGAATCACACTGGGATATGACTAACCCCTCTTTGCAGAATTGCACAGATCAACACCAAGCCACACACTAAAACTGCATGTTCTATCCCAGCTCATTCCCACAGCTGATCTACCTTGGGTTGCCTTTTTGTGTCCTGTAGGAGTGTCATAGGGTCAGGATCTGGCACGGCATGACCAACAATTGTAGGCCCAAAGACCTTGGCCAGGTTGGTAACATCCATTTTGGTATCTGGACTCTGAGCCACTCTAGCCAAGAGAGACAGAGAAATGTGAAGCGGAGCATTTGTGCAAACAGAAATATTTCAAGCAGCAAACTGTCAGTTCTTGGCTATGATGCATTTCTTGGCTATGTGAGGTTCCATTTATGTCTCCCAACACTTCCCCTCCACCTCATACGTTCCTGCGCATGCATGCACACACACACAAGCCTAAGAAATAGAATAATAATATTCTGCCTCAACTTCATCTTTGGGAACACCCAACCCAACCCAACTGAACCTACCTCTGCAGGTGTATCATGAGGAAAGCCAGGGTGTCCCTGTTAGCCTGGGGGAGCTCCGTCAGAGTTTGATACATGGCTGCCACGCTATTGTCCTCATCCACAATTTCTTTAAACAAAAGCACAAAGACACTGCTTTTCTTACTGCTTTTAACATGTCAGCAAGATTCCTACAGCGAAGGGTTGCACTGTTTCTCATCCATCAGTAGAATCTATCTGTTGGGCTCAGTGCCTATAATACAAGTTACCATTATCTAAGATTCTAAGACATCAGGTCAGCAGATCCTTCAGCCTCAATATCAGGAAGAGAAAAGTTAACTTAAATAGGCAACTACTTTGGGATTTCCTGAATGTATATTGTGCCCTGCAGGCATACCTTTGAGGATTTTAAAAAGTAGTTTGCACCAAGTTAAGTATTTTCCGATCTCCTCCACTGTCCAACCCACTATCAGTAATCTGTTTATGATAGAAATGGAGAAGAATCAAACACTAAAATAAGAAAGGGAAAGATTCTTTGAAAAACAGGTACCATTCCTTTGTGTGATACAACATTGTTAGGTACAAAAGAGGTTTGAGTAATTTAATTATGTCTTTACAGTTTTAGTCTTGGGCCTGTACTGTGTCACTGAAAAGACAATACTGAATTTTCAGCCACACAGGTAGAAAGATAATATAAGGGAGAAAGGCTATAGGAGGATAACTTTCTTTATGTCAGCTGGCCAAGGAGTCAGAGTGGCAAGTCACAGGAGTTGCCATTTTGGGGAAATACTGTCATCTACTCCAGAATGTTATTCCATATGCCAAAGTATTCCTTGGAAGATGTCACTCACTGTTAAAAAACTGATTCCAGTTCTGCTAACCTGTTATCAGTATCCAGGGAGCCTAAATTTGTCTACCTCTAAGGCAACAGCAGAGGATCAAATATTGAGGTTTTTTTCCGTATCATACCAGTAATGAAAGACTGAGACCCAGCATTTTATAAAGTTGCAAAAAACTGAAGTTTTGCACTCAACATGTGCTTGTCAGTGGTGACAGTCCTAAATAAGTCTTACCTGCTGCCTCCATAAAGGTCTTGTTTAAACGGAAGGTGAGAAGGGGCTCCTTCAAGTTGCGGAAGAAGTCTTTAAGCAGGCTACATACAGCATGGATATCTTCCACCTTGCTAAGAAGGGGCACAGTTTTCCCTCGAAGGAACTTCTCCTTCAGGTCCTTCACTGTGCGGTCACAGCCAGAAATTCGGTAGAGGCCTGTCTGTTGAAACAACTTACTTTAAAGCATGATCCCCAGGATGTCCATGGAGAAATTCCTCTGGCTACAATGAAGCCCACGTCTTAATGCTTAGGATTATACCCCTCATTATAGCAGAGACACCTTTTGATAGAGTATTTGGTGTCTGCAACTCACAAGCAGAGCCTGCAGGGAAGCAACTGTATAATTGTCTTTGTTCCCAGTAATCCCATAAACAAGTTCACATCTTCCAAGTTCACTCTTACCTCATGCAGCCCTCGCTGCTCAATCTCATTCACACAGTGAACAACAATGGAAGGAATCATTGGAGGAGTCAGAGATACAAAATCCGCAAGGGTTCCCTGAAAAGAAACACATACAGTGGTCTTCCATCTAGACCGAATTTCATACGAGTCTTTTAGAGGACAGCTTGACAATAAACTATCCACAGAGTTGACACTGAAAGGCGCCACATAATTATACTCCAGGAAAATAGGAAGCAAAGAATTGCTTCAACAGAAGGTGCTTAGCCAAGTTCAAGATTCTAACTTTGAACTGTATTATGGACCACAGACAAATATTAAGAAAAAGGAGATTATTAGTTGGGAGGCACAACAAATGCTGTAAGGTATTTGACATGCTCTCTGGCCAGTGTAAAAGGATATGAATGTTAATTGCTGAGTGCCATCAAGTTGTCTCCAACCTATGGCAACCCTATGAACGGAAGCCCTCCAATATGGTCTGTCCATGGCATCCCTGCTTACCTGTTCTAAATGGTTACAAGAAAGCCTACAGACTTTCTGGCACAGAGAAATCATATTCTCCTGCTTCCCTCACTATTTAAAATTGAGATCCAACTGAGAAGTTGTTACCTGCTAGTACCCTAACAAAATGTTAGGCACTGTTAGGTTCTGCTTCTTGTTCTGCTCACCTTTCACTTTACATCTGTGCCAGTACAACCATGCCCTGGGGATAGCCAGCAAGGAGACTCTCTATTTGTTCATGTCTCAAGGATACTAATAGGAAGCATAAAGCAAAAGCATGACAGGTCACTGCCTTTAAACTGCAGTAAAACTGTGTTATTGTTATGGGAAGGCTCCATTAACAGATCTGTCACTTCACAGTTAGCAAAGCAGAAAAGTTCTCATCAGGATGTTGCTGCTCCTTCTGGCACAAGGCGCCTCAATGTATTTTTACAGCAGTGCAACACGTCACATTTCACTCTCTTAAACCTCATTTCCCGTTCTTCAGATGCCATGGAAAAGGATGGAGCTGCAGAATGTGAAAACTATCTCAGAAGCATACCTCTCCGATTCTGACAGGGGTTCCTGCTAAGGTAGGGATGCAGGGCAGGGGGCAGCGATCTCGGCATTCTGGGTGTGTCACAACCCGACAGTCTCTGCACTTCAGGGACATCTTCCCAAACTTGATCCGTTTGCCACATGGAACGCATGACTCAGGTTTAATAACCTGGGGAAAGAGGGGACGTGTATAAGGGAATAGCCTGATCCAGAATAAGGATTAAAATACACTAAGTCCAAATAAGAGTAAGTAGGTATGATCTGTAGCTTATTCATGTTGGGATCTTTATTCCACCAATGAGAAAGGTTCTTCAAACAGCTCTAACCACCAGTAAAATCCCAGATAAGAGCAGTGAAAACAAACTGCAGCAGCTGTGAGCTGGCCAGCCAGCCAGCCAGCCAGCCGTCAGGAACAGAATGGACTTATCCAGCCTCCTGTTCTGGCAGCAGCCACAGGAGATGCTCTGGGCAAGACTTGTGTGGCAGTGTGCTAGGCTACATTGTCCCTCCTGCCTTGGTGCAAGGGCAAGTTCTGTGGGCAAAGATGCATGGGCATGGAAAGTATAAATTTAGTATTGGTTTTCCTTAACCTTGTCTGAACATGCTAGTTTTGACCCTAAAAGGGTTCAGAGCATCTCTCCCTGTATCATCCTGCACAGGAGCTGAGATCTACAATGGAAGCCCTTTCTGTTATATCATCATCTAATGAATTCTGGACTTCTGAAACTCATAATAATGACTTTCTTGGTGGTGAAAATCCAACTATACAATGCTGGAGGGTAGAATGCTGCCAACATTGCTCAGCATTTGGTGCCAGGTCATAGAATCATAGAACAGTAGACCTGGAAGGGACCACGAAAGCCACCTGGTTCAACCCCCTGCTGTTGCAGGACACCACGTTACAGCATCCCACACAGATGGCTGCCCAGTTTCTTTTTGAATGTCTTCAGTGTGGGAGAGTCCACCAACTCTCTAGGCAACTGGTTCCACTGTCGTATTGCTGACAGTGAGGAAGCTTTTCCTGAAGTCCAGCCTGAATCTAGGTTGTCACTACTTGAATTGATTATTCCATGTTCTACACTCTGGCATCAGTGAGAAGAGATCTTGACCTTCCTCTTTGTGACAGCTTTTGAGGTACTTATACAGGTCAAAAAGATCCTTTGTCAAACAACTTTTGATATGATTGTTGCGCCAATTTATTTCAGCAAGATAGCTGAGGGGTAGTGCATAGTTCTTGTTTCAACACACACACACACACGAGAGAGTGGTCACTTGTCATTTGCATTGGTTTTATGTGCTTTGACAGGCAGGATAGAAATTTAAAAACTCAAACTATCTTTAAAGGTTGGCTGCAAATTAAGATGTGAAGTCAATTTGCATATAACAGTTAAGTATCTAAACCAAGAAAACCATAGTTATTTCCTCATTTCTCCAACCTTTCTGCTTACAAGGTATCAAAGAACCTAGTGACTATTATTTATTACATTTCTAAATAAAGGCTGTCATGATTATAACCCCGCCCCCGCCCCGGAAACTCAGAAACCTTTTGGCTAGATTTGATTAAATAACTTGTATGGTAGAATCATAGCGATCGGTATGGCAACAATTTCTTCTAATTAGAAGCATATAACATATTGATGCAGTATTAGGGAACAATGATTCATTTTATGTTTATTATATTGTCTATGTTTATTGTTCTTATTCTTGTATTATATTTGCCAGAATAATACAAATTTTTGAAAAGAAAAAGGAAAACAAAACAGCTTGCTGAGGACTCCCTAAAGTTACCCTCCCAGGCTGGGCTTAATAAGCTATGCCAGGGTTTCATCATACTTTTGCAATCTCAACTTGTAGTAAGGAACAACTGACAAAATGTGTTTGCACAGTGCAAGGAGGGAACCCACACCAGAAGGCATCCTGCGCCATGTGTTTTTAACACCGAAGACAAAAAGAGGCTCAGCTGAAATTCTCAAGAATTCAGGGGCAGAGGAAGAGGTTCACATACAGGAGTCGGCATTTTTTCAGGCATCTGCCTCCCATAAACTCTTTAAAATCTTCTGAATTAGCAATTTCATTTAGGCCTAGAAAATGCTAACCCAGCTAGCATTAGCAAGCCCAGCCCGCAACATAGAGGAATTTGGACAGGTTCATCACGGCCTGCTCACTCACCGTTTTTGATACAAATTCATGGAGTTTGATCCCAGCGCTCCCTGGAGTGCTTAATCCGTCTGTTTCAGATCTGCTTCCCAGCTTTCTGCTTCCCAAGCTTGAGTCACTGTTCCAAGGCTGTAGAATGCCTTGGGTAGAAAAAAGACAGTCATTTCATAGATTTGATATAAGATTCAAACTGGCAGTAGGCACACCCAATTTAAACTAGTGAATATACAATTTCTCACTTAAGTTACAACTCTTAATGCAACTTGAAAGGTGAGTTTGGGAATATCCAATTTTGTCTCTTTTCCCATTTTAGTATTAAAATAATGAAGGGATGACTTTTGGGAAAAAAATGAAAGGGTTACTGTTATATCCTTTTCCCAGCACAGAAGCTCAGACTTCAGAGAGAGGGATATTTGGCAGTCAGCTTTCAGTGTACCTCCCTAATCCTTATTAGAGTAGAAATAGAAACATATGTGTGGGATGGATTTAAGCAGAACAGATAAAATATTCCAGGAGTGTGTCTTCCCCCTTTTCTCTTATAAAATAAAAGAGGGCAAGAGACTGAAAATGAGTAAAACTATGTGGTATAAGGGAAGAAAAAGAAAAGTCTGCTCCTAGCTAAGTCATAATCAATTTCAAACACAATTCAGATGCATGTTGCCATTTTCAATCACCAAGAACTTCCTCTGAAGTGCAAAATCACAGAAAATAACGCTCATTTGTATCAGCATCTGTACAGCTACAGACAAATATTGCTTAAAGGCTGTGGTTATAAGGAAGTCACAGTAGTTTAAGTTTGAAGCTTAAGTAATAATCTGCAAGCACACACTTACCTGCCTTTCTGCGGTTTCCAACGTAGCAAGGTATAGTTTCAATGGTGGAGATTGCTTCAATAGGGCCTCCATCATTAGGTACCATGAGGGTTGTTTTTGCAACTATCGATTCATTTCCCTAAAATGAAGGATCAAAGAGATTAGCAGCTGCAGATGAAATGAAGGTGCTCTCTCTTGCTGAACATATGCAACCTGCAATCCATTTGAAATGAACACAGCCTCGAGTACCAAGAACCTACTCAACATGTCGTGAAGCACAAATCCTGGCTTCAAACTGAGGGCATCCTTGGTGAACCTGAGAAGAAAGTGGCTGGAATGTAGCAGGATGCTTGGTATTCACATATTACCTTCCAACCAGACTACTGAAATGAAAAGATGTGTAGGCAAATAGTCCTCCTTGACAAGCAACTGCCCTCAGACTCAACTTTTACCACTTACAGGATTGTCCAAGACCAGAATATGTAAGTCATTCACAAAATGTGCATAGAAAACATGGACCAACCTAAAGGTCAGGAAGTACACAATATTGTGCTATGTTGATGTGAAGCAGTTATGGGTAGTGTCTTGATGGAGGACCACTATGCCCTCCACACCACACTCCCTGAACTTTTCTGGAAGAAAAATTGGGTGTATTACAATAAATAATAATTTAAGTTGTCAAGGAATCACTGCAGTATGGGATACATGATAAAGGCATTCAAATTATGCAGGATTCAGAGAAAGTAGAGGAAAGTAGAGGAGGCTTCGGCAAGGGGCGGCATAGAAATGTTTTAATAAATAAATAAATACATTTTTGTCCCTGTCCCATAATACTAGAACCTAGGGCATCTCATGAAGCTAATTGGTGAAAGTTCAGGAGAGATAAAAGGAAGTACTTCTTAACTTATAGTTAAACTATGGAATTCACTGCCACAGTAGTGACAATGGCCACCAGTCTGAATGGCTCTAAGGAGGGATTGGACAGATTCACGAGGGAGGAGGCTATCAGTGGCTACTAGCTTTTCTGACTATTGGTCACCTCCTTTATTAGGGATGGCATCCCTGCATACAGCAGTAGCTGAGGAGCTTGAGCAGCTAGAAGTTTTACACCCATCCTGCTTGAGGGATCCTGTGGGCAGCTGGTTTGCCACCATTTGTACAGACTAGATAGATTTTGGTCTGAACCAGCATGGATTTTCTCATGTAGTTATGATAGTTGAACTTCAACAGGATCCTTTATGGAAGACTCGCTCCATGAGTTCCTGAGATGTTCACACATAACTTGCCACATCCTCTAAAAAGGAACAGAAATGCTAATTGAGCTAGATTCCCATCATAGAATGGATACATCTGCACCAAGATTAAATTTCCCATATGATCATGGCAAACAGCATTAGCACAGCTCACAGCTTGGGTATGTGGAAGCAGTCATCTATGCCTTTCTTTTTGTAAATACTGACATGTTGATCAACCCTAAGTAATAAAAAGGATAAGTTCCTAACCTCAACCCCACCCACCCAATGACACATGATCTCTAAAATGTAAGAAAGGTCTGTCAAAAATGAATATAATTTTAGCAAAAGCACATACTTGGTCTGCAGTAGAGCCAATGGAACGCGTTTTCTTTAAAGGACCAGGTGGGCCTTCTATAAACTGTCTGGATGAGCGCTGTAAAAAAATATTTGTAGGATGTGTTTTAAGTCAGAACATTATGGAATTATTGGAAAAAGTCAAGTAAATTCTGAGTGCTCAGATGCTAAATGCTATCTCATTTTCGTATCTACAAGGGATGTGATATTCTTGAATAATCTAGTAAGCATTTGTAGTGCAACCTTTTTCAAAGGCATTCTTTCTTGTTCCTTGCATGCCTTACCTAGTAACCAGATGAAAGTGGGAAAAAGGTGGGAGCAGACAGAGAAAAAAAATACCTCTAAACTTAGAATCTCCCCTTGTATCTTTTTTGTAATATGTGAAACAGAATTTAAAATTTCAACTGTACTATTAGCTATAAGCAAAACTAAGTGCAAATTATAACTTCCATCTCAGACATCATAAAGCTGACTTGTCAGAACTGCCCTGTTCAGTTTCAAGGCCTAGTACAAAGAACTGAACATTTGAACCCTATTCCAGATTTGAAACAAGCAATTTAGGTGGAACACACCTTGAAATTTAAGTGACTTTAAATCAGCCTTCCACATCCTTGTGCTTTGGACGTTTGGACTGCAACACCCAGAATTCCCACTCAACGGCCCTATTGCATGGGAATTCTGGGAGTTGTGGTTCAAATGCCTCTGAAGGCCACCAGGTTGGCGGTACAATGTAACACCACCATGAAAGGTAGTACAATGTAGTACAATGCTACTTGTCCTACTGGCATATGGGGTTACAAGTTTTTTACTGGAAGATCTCCAACTGAAGAAAGAATCAGCATCTGTGCTCCAGAGGTGGGGCTGTCACCACCAGCAGCTACTTGAGGGAAATAAGACCAAGGCCTTGGGCAGCAGCTGTGGAGTGGTGCAAAAGGGCATTGCCCATTCAGTGACGCTTCAGGACTGCTGTGGGGCAGTGTGAGGCGAGTCTCATAGCAGCTGCAATGGATTAGTTTAGAAATGTAGCAGCTGGTTTGTTTTTACTGTTTCTATCTTAGCCATTTTAATTATGTGTCTGGGTAACTTTGGTACGCAAAGGGTAGGGGGAGGTGTTGTGGGATCAACAAGTCAGCTGAGAAGAATAGAGGTTAGATATCTCACAGCTATCCCCTATTCTTGTTTTTCCCCCTGCTGGAGGATTCCTGGCAGCCGTACCAGCCTGCCCTTGGATCTTGTGCTGCTGAATGCCAGGTCAAGCCCAGAATAAGACCTCCCTCATCCATGACTTGTTGTGGATGAGGGGGCTGACCTGCTTTGAATCACTGAGACCTGGGTGGATGAGCTGGGAGGGGCTACTCTTTCTTGACTGTGCCCTCCTGGCACTTGACACAGCACCAACATTAACTCGAAGGCTGGGGAGAGGGATAGCCACAATCTAGAGGAATATAATCTCCCTTTCCAGGCTTCCAGTTCAGTTGAGTGTAGGCCTTGGGTGTCTGTACTTTGTGTTGGACACCTGAGACAGACAAGAGAGCTTCAGCTTTTAGTTATTTCATTAAAATGAAATAAATAAATAAATAAATAAATAAATAAGACAATGAATGCACATTTTAAAGTGTACATGCTCAAGTGGTGTGCAAAATATTTGCTAGTTTGATCATTTACAGCTAGTGGCCACTTGATACCACAATGACCCATATGAAATGCACTGCAATATACATAAAGGAATTCAAAAATACCTGAAACCACCACTTCACATAAGACCATGCAAGTTAGTAAAGGGGGGAAACATACATACCCTTTTCTCTCTTTTCTTCAATCTGCGAGTCTTTACCAATGTGGAATCCCAATCCTGGAGAAGAGAAAATCATTTGATAAGCATCATGCAAAGAGCAAATATGAATTTGATTTTTGTACATTTTTATCATCCATCTATATTACTAAAGTATCAATCTTTCAACCTGCTAGGCTATATAAAGTGGCATTTGGGAGCAGAAAAATTAATACTAAAATACAACCAAATTGAGAACAATTCACATGATTAACACGTCTCCTAACATGGGATCTTACTTCCACATCATTCTAAGATAGCATATGAAGTGAAGTCAGATCAGAGTTACATTACCAGTGATTCATCGGTCTTGTCAAAACTGATGTCGGATAAATTTGAACCAGATTCATCTATTGTTGACAGTCTGAAAATAAAAATGGTTAAAAATCACACATATGCACATAACATTCAGTTTCAGATTCTGCCTTCATTAGATCTTTATGATGATTAGTCCAGTTACTTAGCTTTTGAATTCAAGCAGAACCTACTAAAAAGAATGGGAAAGCAAATGCATAAGACTGTATGCATTCTATCCTAGTGTACTTTTGCTCTATGAACAAGAGATGTGATACTTGGCGTAGAAATTGGAATGCAGGCATTTCACTTTTACAAGCAATGAGTGTATAAACAGCCAAAATTAAGCACTTTAACCCCCCTAGTTTCTACAGGAAACCACTGAGCATGTTTCAAACAATCTCTTAAGAACCAACAGGACATAGAATTAATTAACAATGTATGTATTTCCAATGGCATGTCTTTTCTTCCTTTCATTCCCCATATCTTTGCTACAACTGGTTTCTTGTGAGAGACTGTAAGACATAAAAAAACACATACTGGTATAAGCCAGTCTTTCCCAGTTTAGACTACAAATCCCATCATCCCCACCCAATGGGGCCATACTGGCAGGGGATTGTGAGAACTGTAGGCAAAACACATCTGGAGGCCACCAGGCTGGGAAACACTGGTTCAATCTATTCTATTCTCAAGATTTTGGGTTATTTTGGTATAGCACATGTGTGCATGCAACTAGACATATGTAGGACTACACATATCCTGTTCGTAAGGGAAACAAGTTCAAAAACCTGAATCACAGAGAGAGAGTTAATTTAATCAGACATGTGCTTTCTGGCTGTAGGATGGATCAGGGAGCTTCTTGCACAAAGCATAACTATATTTGCCTTTCTTGCACTAGGTATTTCTGCTTTCTGTAGCAAGTACCAACATTCAACATTTCTTTTCCCAGTTCCCTTAAACATCATTTGGGTCCACATAATAAGGGCTGTTCATCATTCCATTAAAGGGCAGCTCTTCTAAGAGTCTCTATGTATTCAAAGAGCTTGTTTACAAAAATATTGCTGTTGATTCCTGTTGCAAGGATCAGGCCACAATCCAGCTCTCTTGTGCTCTCTGGCCTTCTTTCCATACTCAGCTTTGGCTAGAAAGCAAGGGGGGCTGAGATCGTTTGTGAGCACTTAGGAATGCTAGCAGCTTCTTTGTGCGAAGTACACAGAGCCTGCAAGTCACATGTGCAGAGGCAGAACCACTTGAATTTGCTTCCTGCCAGATGCCCATGCAAATACTCAGCACAAGGCAGACTTAGGGGAGAGAGGCTGGAGTCCAGGGAGATGAGCTGAGGAAATCCAACAGATTCTCACACCCAAACCGTATTCCTCACACATCTCTACTTCTGATACAAGGCCTATCTAGCTGCAACTCAGTGCAGCATTGTGAGTGTGAGCATGTAATGTTATATTCTGTGCAATGCATAAATACTGATTGAAGCACTCTTCAAATTAGTGTCTTTCTCAGTTATCCCTTCCAGTTCCTAAGTGTTAAACTTGTTTGATTTCTGAGGCACAGAGCAGAAACCTCTGCATAATACTATAAAAGAAACCCTCCAGGGGTTTACTAAAGCTGGATTCAGTTCAAATAACCCTTTGTCAGACAAAAAAGTACATACTACACTTTGGATCAAGTTTGCTGAAAAATATATTCCTGAACCAGCATTCTTCCCTTTAAAGATGTTACTGATGTAGAAACACAGTTACTGCCATTCAGGTTAGTGCTGCTACAGAGGATAATTACTTTTTTCAACAGGCAATAGGGCTCTAAGTATAATTGAAGTACATGAAAATTGTTCTAGACAAAGGGACACAGTTTTACACTTCTCTTTCTTACAGCCATACTGAGCACTTCTTAGAGCTCTGATATTGTGAAAATTAGCATCTAAGTAATCTAGTAATACTGGGCGTTCTGCATACTGAGTGCCAGAGCTTTTAGATTGCCAACTCACCATGAACTATAAGGGAACATCTGGCAACCCATGCCACATGATTCTTGAAAGCTTTCAATAACAATTATATTTTAGATGCAATTAATATAGGACCACACTAAAATAGTGTTAGGGTGGCAACTTACCTCCAGTGAATATGAATCTGGATATTTACATTTTGACTCTGAACAAGACTTATCAAAAATATTGGAAAAATATTCTCTAGCCACTGAAAGAAAAGCAAGTAGGCAATCTACTACCTTTGCAACCCAAGCTGTTAAAGATATACCCCTACATCAAGGTATTATCCGACAAATTTACCTTTTGTTCCCCCCAATGGAAGTTTGAGGCCTGTTTAGGAAAGCCAATGCAGACTTCTGTTCTTCACTCAGTTGAATACTGCCTGATGAATCACACATGAGAAGCTCTCTGATCAACTGGATCTGTCGCTCCTACAAGTTCAAAAACATCAAAAGTAGTCTTGCTTTACATTTATGACAGACAACCCATAATATACAAAGTCTTCTGAAGAAAACTGCTACATGACTGGCATATCAATATTTATAGAGGGATGCACACCAGTCTTGTAAGTGAAAGTATCAGCTTAGTTTAAAGTAGCAGAAAAAAGTTTGAGATGGAACTCCTTGCTAGCCAATGTAAAAAGATAAGGTGCTCCAAATGTATTTATTTGCACCACAGAGCAATTGGTTGGCATCTTACCTATTTTACCTATTTGCTGTTATGGCAAATTACAATAGTTTCCATCATATGACCTTGGAAAAAATAATTGGAATGGTGGAGGGGAATTAAACTTTTTTTTTTTAATTGGACCTTCATCAAATGGCCAAAAATGAACAATGCAGAAAGAGGCTGAGAAGATTACTTTTTGTTACAAGAAGACTGATTTAAGCTTGACTTGCAGCAAAGTAGGACTTTCCACAATTTCTCAGCTTTGCATTAAAGCCCAGTGACAGACAGCAACCAAGGAAAGAGAGCAGTATAGAAGAGAAACAGGACAGTGGACAGTTGGATGAATTTGGACTGTACCTCAAGAGAATGAATTGTAAAGAAGATAAAACCTCCCTATCCTAACTTATCAGGCAAGAGGTCACTCAGCTACGATGATGCATGGTTCAGATCACTTTGGGAACTTTGAAGAGAACATCAGTTCACGTCATACTTGTTTCCCTGCCTTCGATTCATAATACCAGCCTGTTAAGCTTGTCAAGCACAGGACATTTTGGAGGGCATTCATTCACAGGGTCGCCGTAAGTTGGAGACAATATGACACCACCTAATAACTAAATAACAGCAGCTATGTGTTAGAGTAACCCATCCCAAGGCAGACTCAAAAGTAATGTCTTAATAGCACTGAAGAAGCCTTTGCCTCAAATCTCCTTCAGCAGAAGCAAAGGAATTGGTTTTCCACCTGTCAAAAGAAAGCCAACAGTCACTGGGGACTGTCTGATCATGCCAAGCAGGCTTATTTCTGACAGTGGGGGTGGTGGGAAGGAGCAGCATTAGTTATTCCTAGTTCTGCAAAATACTGTCTTTTAGAATGAATAAGATGCTTAAGACCAGGTGCGTCTATATTGCTTTCTAGCCTTTTCTTCCACAAAATGTTTTCTAAACAGTATGCATCAGGAAGCCTTTTATAGAAACACGAGAGATGTAAAACATTTGGGCATTCTGAAGACACAAGATTTTTTTTAATCCTCTCTACATAACTTTCCCAGTGTAGTTTTTATTTCTATACCTTTTTCAAAATACTTAATTTAATGTATATTTTACCAATGGACATTTAGGGATCCTCTAAGTCATGCTTAGTTTCCCAACACATGACTAGAGCCATTGTTTCATATTTTGTGTACATTCTTGATAGTTTGGGTTGTGTTCTATAGAGTCTTGTTTGTGGCTTGTTCCAGTTAGATGTTATAGTAGTCAATGTTCTAACACCCACAGGAGAGAAAGAATGTAGATTTCCTCACCACTGTCACAACCCCCCATGGAGAGTGCCTGTTATCTTACCTATATTTTCTTCAAACATAAACAAAACCTTTGAGGCTTGAGTCTATGGAACTCACCACCAGTTTTTAATAATTTCCCCATGTACATTAGTGGTGAATGCTTTCACAGCTATAAACTAACCTACCTATTGAGAACATGGTTTAGAAGAAAAGTCTGAACTCAGAATTTTATCCTGTGGTTACAATCCTATGTACATATGCCCAACAATAAGGCCAGTGTGACTAACTTAGGAATAAACATGCGTAAGATTGTGTTATAAGCACTGGCCCATATTTCTGCTTCCAGTCTGAGTACTGGAGGTCATAACATAGCATGAATAATGGTGGAGAGAGAGAGGGAAGGCATCATTCATTATAGGAGATACTAGATAGGTACATGATCAGTGCTCATAGTGATCAACTAATCACATCCCTCTGAACTGCAATGAGCTTAGCAGCTGAGACAAAAAGCACATTTTCAGTGCTGAAGTATGTTGTTTATGAGTCCTAGAAAAATGCAATCTTAGAAGCAGAAGAGGGCAGCATTGAAGGCCATGCTGATGGAAGGGAGTTCAGAGAAGCCCTTGTGTCCTTATTTGAAACCCAGCGCTCTACTTTGTTAAGAAAAGCTGAAGCAAATTTATGCGTACCAGTTTTTCACATTCTGCTTCAGCTCTCTGCCTTCGTTTGATCTCCACATCCACTTGGTTTCGCGCATGTTTCAGCTTCACATCCAGGGCACTACGCTCAGTTTCTGTTTTCATCAGAAGGTCTTTGTACCTGGCCACCTCATGATCCATTTTCTGCCACTTTCTCCTGAATTCTTCAAAGTTCTTGGCCAGCTGGATAAATTCTGGGAAGAACACATTGTAATCCACTGATGTTGGGTTACCTCCCTAATGACCTTCAGCATTTCCTTCTTAAATATGTTTTCAGGACAAATGTACAATTGAGAAATGTTGGCCAACCTAGTTATGGTTGGTTCAGAAGGAAAACCTAGCCTTAAGCATTTATCCTATGAGCACTTGCCCCATTTAAGTCCAGCTGGGACTTAATTTGAGTAAACATGCATTGTTTATTCTATGAGCTAGTATCCCCCATTATCCAGATCAAGGCTTTCTGTTAGGCTACTCAGTCTGATATCATATTAATGATATGATATGTTAGAGGACAAGCATGGGATTAAATCAATTTAAATAAAATATGAACTTGCTGACAACTGTCACACCCAAGAATGAACCAACATCTATAATTAACTTGAGAACAGATTATTTTAGTGATTATTTTAGTCACAGATTAGCACACCAGAAGACATTCAAAAGCAAAAATTACATGGAACTGCTGTAATATGCTTCAGTAGATGCAGATTAGTATTACAGATGTCTGGGTCAGCAATTCTATTCAGCTAGATAATTATACAAATATTGATTTAAAAAGAAAAAGCCAATTTCCTTTAGCTTCTTAACACTGCCCTAAGGGGAATATAAATGTTCCACCCTGCAAAGCTACATTTACAGGAGATTGGACAAACCTGCCTCCAGCCAGTGTTCTCCACCACCCTCATTATGTATGGATGCCCTTACTCTGATTCTGCACAGACGTGTTTTGGGCTCTTGGAGACCCACAGGAGTGCCTGGCAATGTAATATCATGTCCCTGAGGCAATAGATGGAATAAAGTAACTACTGGAACCTTAATGTTTTAGCCACATGTGCTGCACTGTTGCCTAGAAACCACACTGCACAAACCTGGCTAGCTGGTATGCAGATTGGTTTTCTACAGAAGACATCCACCCCAATAATCAAGCTTCCAGAATCAGTGAACACATGGTGACTGGGTAATATAAGGAATTTGAACAAGCTCACCCTCACCAAGCCCTTGAATTACAGAGCAGGAAGAGGCCTTCAAATATGATACAAGGGCTTTTTATCCTTCACATTAGTCATGTGCATGAAGTCTAACAAAGGGTGACAACTTACGGAGTTCATTGCCTTCATTCAGAATTTCTGCTTGGCGCATGAGTTGGTCAAAAAGATTCCGAATATTCAGCACTGTAGTCTCCATTGCTATGCTAAGAAACTGAAATAATTCAAAGATTAGACACAACAATTCCTGCCAGCAAGATTAAGTCTAAAACTCAGGAATAAACACAACATTGCAGATATTGCTGTTGGCAGGCAAACGGATAGCTGAATAACACACCTTTTGTATTACTTTACAGATTCAATATATAGAATGTAAAAAGATTTGGGTGGCACAAAAAGACATCAGTATCTCCAGCCATATCTTAGCAAAGACAGACAACTTGCAATATGTTTTATTTATTCAGCAGCATCAGTGGATAAAGTGCTTTATTTCTTTATATATTACATTTTTATACAGCCCAATGGCTAAAGCTCTCTGAGCAGTTCACAAAATTTAAAGCTAGTGAGAGATGAATGTGAGCAGATGCTGAGAGACACACTTAAACTGTGATACAGATGGCAATTAGGTTTCAAAAGTTAAGAAAAAGGCCTTGGAAAAATATGCATTGAGTGCAGAGTTCTGAAGAAAAGGCAATTTATTCCACAGAATAGATGAATTTTAAATAATGGATTTCTTTCAAGTCAGCTTTAAAAAATGAAACATTATACCGAATATCTCAGGTTTAAAACAAAATCTGAATACAGTCCTGTTGGAAGTCTATCTTAGTATCTCATAACTGAATTCATAACACTTGAAGAACCACATTAGAAAAGCAGACTTTCATTTGACATAAAAGTCTACAGCAGGGATCTTCAATTTTTTCCACCAGGGGGCCAGCTGAAAGCTGCTGGTGCTGGGCAGGGGCTGGAAAGGGGGTGTTGGCGGTGTGCGTGAGCCGGCGAGGGGGTGGGCTGTGTGGGTGCGCGCACTGAGGCGGGGGCGAGGTGCATGGTGAGGTGAGGTGAGGCGAGGGCAGGCACGCGCCATGAGATGGGTGCAGGAGGCAGCGGCTTGCTTGCTTGGAAATCGTTTTCTCCGAGCAAGCAAACCGCTGCCTCCCTGCGCACAGGGCAAGGTGGGCAGCGGCACACGTGTGGTGGGTCCAAATGGGCATTGCGGGCCGGATAAATGGGCATGGCGGGCCAGATCCGGCCCCTGGGCCGTAGTTTGAGGACCCATGGTCTAGGGCATGGGGAAAATATCCGACTTGATGTTTAGCATTATACATTACAACAGCCTATGCATGTTATTATGGAAAGTATTTACTAGTACTACTAAGCTTCTGAATCATCCTTTCTTGGTAAGTAACAGTTGGCTTGCCCTACAGAAAAAGAGCAAATGGGCCAGAGGCAGATTGGAGCCATCTCCCTCTTTTGGACCACTGTGAGAACACAAGTAGGGAGGTGCAGGAAAGCCAACATGGTCAGTGGAGGAATGTTTCCTTCTGTACTAGGTAGTATCAAGAGCCAGTGAACACAGGGGCACTGGGAAATACATGTGGCAGGGAAGTAGCCTAGAAGGGGCTTCAGAAGGATTATGTACAGGATATTTTGGTAGTATATTATTCATATTGGCAGAAAACAAAAGAAAAGACCAAAAATCAGATGGACTGAACCAAAAAAGAATGCCAGTCTTGAACTCAGAAGAGCCGAGGAGCTGTTGTGGGCAGGACTTTTGGAGGGCTTTCATTCATCAGCTGCCATAGGTCAAAGATGACTTGACAGCACATAACACCAATATACAACAGGAAGGCAGTTTAGAAGAGGCAGATGATAAAATAAACAAAGGGTTGAATGGATTAAGACCAGGGACAAAAGGAGCAGGAGCTCAGGGAAGACATATAGTATATGAAAAGTGGGTGAGAAACAACGCAAGTTTCCTGATCAGATCAGGATGCCCATCTTAACTGTTCTTGTCAGTTTCAGGATGTCTGCAACCTCATTATGGCAGGGCTTTGGCTCATTTGGTCCTAAAAGTGGCAACATGGCTCTGGCCAAGCACCTGGTTGGTGGTCCCTGTCTTACTTGGTTAAGAACTGATCGTTCTAGGAAAGGAAGGATTAGAGACTTAACACCTTGCACTTCTGGAGACAGCAGAGTCAAAGGCCTCTGAGGGGGTTCTTCCAAAAGAAGTTTGTTTGTATTTTGGGCTTTCTATCTAGACCAGGGGTCAGCAACCTGCGGCTCTGGAGCCGCATGTGGCTCTTTCATCCCTCTGCTGTGGCTCCATCGCTCAAAATATGCATCACAACCACCAATGTGCAACACCCGCTGGCACGCGATTTATTGAGCTTTTGGACCCCCGGTAGGCCAACCATGGATAAATCCAAGAAAAGAAAAGTTTCAGAAGAAAACAGAACATTTAATGATACGTGGGCAGATTCATTTGCTTTCACTGCTGACGAGACTGGTTTACCAATATGCTTAATATGTAGTGAAAAATTGGCGAATAACAAAAAGTCGAATGTTGCAAGACATTTCCAGAATAAACACACAGCCTTTGCTGAAAAATATCCGGATGGAGATGAGAGAAAAAAAGCCATTTCAGAACTGATGCAGAAGGTTGATCTGAGCAAAAATCATAATTTAAGTTTGACTTTTTATTTCATAAATACAAGGAGGACTCAAATAGACATGGAGTATTTTATCTGAAAGTAATCTTCAACCCAGCGTCTTTTTTTTTCTTTTTGGAGTTCAAAATATTTTTGTTGCATGCAGAAATAAAAAATTGTTTTCCCTGTAGCAGTTCACTGATTTCATAAATGCAACACACTATAGTTTTTTATACATAGCATAAAGGTAAAAAACTATATATGCAGTGTTATCTTCATTTTAGATGTCAAAAGGGTTTTGTGGCTCCCAGTGTTTTATTTTCTGTGGGAAACAGGTCCAAATGGCTCTTTGAGTGTTTAAGGTTGCCGACCCCTGATCTAGGCAGAAGCTAACCCCTTTCTACCTCCACTACTCCCTCACTGACTGAAATCAACATGTTTTAACCATATAAACAACTGGCTAGCAAATAAAAAATAAGAGGAAACAATAGATTGGGAAGAGTAGACATAAATCAACTTGGGTTTTTCTTTTCATTGATTGAAATTACTCTGATTCATATTGTTTTATATGGGAAAAAAGGGAAAATCGATTACTAATTGCTGGTGGGTTTGTGGATATGTTATAAGATGCATTATTATTTACTTGCGCCCCATGTTAAAGCTTTTTTGTAATAACCAAGTATTATTAAGTCAAAAATATAAAAATGATAGCATAATAATTACTGACTTTTTGTGTAATTTCCTGCACTTAGCACTGTATGTAATTTTTGTGTAAGGTCCCCTGGTATCTTTCTTTTTCATGTTACTTTTTCTTTATCTATAAAAATAAATAGATGGAAAAAAATTACTCTGATTTAAATCAAACCTAAAATTAGCATAACATTCAATCCATAATATAAAAGCTGTATTTTTGGAACACTATTGGACTAAGGGTTAAATTTTTATTTCAGCAAGCTACTGCTCCTATTGAAAGTGTCTTTAGAAAACCATGACAGGGTCAGCATATTTCCCAAGCAAAAAGAACCAGTGACATCATAGTAGTGATTAAAGAAGAAACTGCTATTTCAGCAGTGCTGAAATTGCTTCTTCAATCCACATAGCTGCTGAAAATGTGTATGGGAATTGTGGGTAATAAATTACCAGCAAGTAGAGGCTGATGCTTTACAATGTACCACATTCTTGGCATCTATTGCGGACAACACATCACCTTTGCAGCTAGAAGGCCACAGAAAAACATTTCAAGTGCATTATACAAAAAAGTATTCTGAGCAAGTGCACTTTAGCATTAATTCTACATTGAAAATTATGAATGCTGAAAAAGCTGCATGGTATGAGACTTCCCTTGGAAGTTCTGCCCATTTTTCTCTTCCTGCTTATTCCACCTTCCTTTTCATTAGCAACAATAATCATGAAGAAGAAAATCATTCCTGGTGTTCGCTACATATGCGGTAGTCTACTGTGGAATAGCAGAAGAAAAAGTTGTGATTTCTGACAAGCAGCTCTAATTGAATAAAAAAAGGGCCAGTAATGAACAGTGGTTAAAAGCATTGACAAATTGGAAGATCTCAATCTCAGACAAGAATCTTGCACAGTGATCTTGAGTCAATCACCATATCTCCCCACATAACCAAACCTACAGGATTGTTGTGATGAGCAAAGAAAGCTGGGAACTATGTGTGGCATTCTAAGCGCCTTGGAGGAAGGACAAGCTACATTATAAAGAAATTAGAGCACATCCCATGCTTAGACAGGAAATATCCTACAATTCTCAGCACACCTCAGTTAGCAATGGTGGCAGGGGAAGGTTGGCTGTTGCAGGACTTTCTTCTGTTCAAACATGTATGGGATTGCATTGTTAAAATACAAGTGGCATTTTCAGGAATTTTAGAACAAGCTACTGAAGTTTACCTTCATAAGTAGAAACTTTTGTCTACGCTTGTAAAAAATCTGCTCAAGAAGTGATTTTTCAGAGTAACAATAGACCCAAACCATTGGCTTTGTACCAAAATGCAAACAATTATATGTATCTTTACTAAAAATATGGTCGTACAAAGAGACATAGTATATTCATTAATGCTTTAATGTAAGAAAACATCAGTGGAAACAATTGCTCTGCTCATGGGGGGATTTCTCTGGAAGAACAGCAGTTAGCCACTCCAGACGGAGACATCCATCCTCCGCTGCACTGACTATGAGAAAGCTATCAATAATACTCCACCCCCGGCCCCTTGGGAGCAGACCTGAGGGGGATGAAGCTGCATAATCTACAATCGGAATCTAGATGGTAGAAGACTCAAGGGTTGTCCCAATTATAAAATGTGCTCCTGCCATAAATGTTGGCCTGAGCTCTGTGGAGGGCAGGGTTAGAGATGAGAAAAATGGGGGGCCTCAGGCTGAAATGAAGAACTACCTTCACACCACAAGTTCTGCACCTTTGCCAGCAACTGTCCTGCTTTGACTGAAGCAGACTCTGAGTGAAGGGACGATCCAGTAGCAACATAACAAAACTGCAAATGTTCAAGCACAAGGGTTTCAGCCTGTTGGAGGTGTCACGTTAAAGCAG